AAAAAAAAAAAAGAAAAAAATTGCCATTTCTTCACGTCTTCAAGAATTCTCGTCATTCATCGTACAGCTAAAAGGTTCCGAGAAGGGACCATTCTGTCACCTTCCGGGCGAGAATGTCCTCCACGCGCCGAAACTTTCTCGGAGCCGCAACGTGTCCCCCATCCAGAGGTTTGGCAAGAAGCAACAGAGTACACAGAGTGCGTGGAAACTACGTGCAAAAAGTCTCATGATCTACGCCTCCGTCTTGTGGCCATCGTGCAGGCAACGCGACCGTCTAACTAACGAATACGGGTTCTCGTAGCCGACAGAAAAGTGTCGCAACCGGCGATGCTAATTACCAACATGTAGGCACGTTATTATTCTTTCCTGGCACACAGGCTTATGAAATGAATTCTCACACCAGGTCTATCTATCTACCATCCAGCTTGTTTTATCTCGGTATACGCACGTATGTATATTACACTAGTTTTGTATAACATTGTATTTACAAATAGAAGGCTAAAGGATGATATTGTCAAATGGTGATTTCACTGTTATCATAGTTTCGATATCCATTCCTCGATTATTCACACACTTTGAACTAGTAAACGTGAAACTCTACGGATCAAGGCTACAATACAATTTTTTTTTTTTTTAACGAAATTAAAGAACAGCATTGTAGAAGAAAACTGGAGACGATTAGTATTCGAATAGTATAAAAGTAAAGAGTAGTTTAATAAATTTCCAAACTCTTGCAATTCTAAGAAATAGTCACATCGGCGCCATTGAGTTCAATTGGAATACTTTCTGCTCTTTCGAGACATTTCTACAACTGAACGTGACACGCGAGGTGAAATGCAAGATCAACGTAATCACGTTGGTTTTAATTGCATTACCGGCGGCTTAAAAGTAGCGACCAGACAGTTCGACGCGAAGGCAGAAAAAGAAAGAAGAAAGAAAAGAAAAGAAAAGAAAAGAAAACGAGCGTTGCGAGATAGTTGAAAGTTGTCGTGCGGAAAATTCGTTGGACGAACACATTCACGTGGGACATTTCCCTTTCCGAGAATGGATCCGTTTCGCTGACGATGCCGGCCTGTTCCGTGAAAACTGTGTCGCCACGATTGTGTCGAATCGACGTTGCTTTTCCTTTATTCTCACGCTCTTCTACGCAGAGCTCTTCGTTAAAGGAAACCGCGGTTTTCTCCCAGTGGTTCCCTCGCAGCTACTGCAATCAAATCTGTAACCACTGTTGCATCGAAATTATCGACTGTTTTACTTGGCGAAGGGAAATCAACGCTAGAACCATCGACGATTAGAACATGAAATTTCCATCAGAGACACTGGAGACAAAAAAAAAAAGAAAGAAAAAACGAGAAACTTTGTAATACATATATCAAAATATAAAAAAAACAATTTATTAATTTTAAATTAAATTTAAGTTCAAACGTGATTTCTTTGTATTTTTGTATGATTGTATTTTAAAAATCTGTAAAAGAAAAATTTTAAAAAAAGTTTATAACAAAAATTATGGATTTATTTTAGTAGGAAGTGATTTTTGGCCCACCCTGTACAAACTTCTATTCATACATTTTACGAAAAAAAATTATATGTGAGAAATAAATTAATTCTATTAATTTCAAATTAAATTTAAGTTCAAACATGATTTTTCCATTATGTTTTAAAAATCTCTAAAAAAGAAATTTAAAAAAAGTATATAACAAAAATTATGGATTTATTTTAGTAGGAAGTGATTTTTGGCCCACCCTGTACAAACTTCTATTCATACATTTTACGAAAAAAAATTATATGTGAGAAATAAATTAATTCTATTAATTTCAAATTAAATTTAAGTTCAAACATGATTTTTCCATTATATTTTAAAAATCTATAAAAGAAAAATTAAAAAAAAGTTTATAACAAAAATTATGGATTTATTTTAGTAGGAAGTGATTTTTGGCCCACCCTGTACAAACTTCTATTCATACATTTTACGAAAAAAAATTATATGTGAGAAATAAATTAATTCTATTAATTTCAAATTAAATTTAAGTTCAAACATGATTTTTCCATTATGTTTTAAATATCTGTAAAGGAAAGTTAAAAAAATATATATATAATAAAAATATTATGAATTTATTTTAGTAGGAAGTGATTTTTGGACCACTCTGTACACGCTTCTATTCATATATTTTACAAAAAGTTGTTTAAATCTTTGAAATCTTACGTTGTTTTATTTTTATATATCTATAAAATATCTAATAAAAATTACAAATTGGCCAGTTTGACCACTTTGGTAGTTCTAGTGTTAATCTGACAAAGAATCGTGCTACCTGTCGCACTTCACCTACGAGTGTGAAATGTAATTTTCCAAGGAGACTATGACAAATAGAATACGAACTATGAGAACTACTCGAGTACGTAGCAAGTTCTACATAAGATATTTAATATGTACTTAATGTATAGTTTAAGATATTTAATATGTACTTCATGTATAGTTCAAAGTGGTACTGAAGAAAGTATATAAATAAATCAATAAATGACAGCGTGTCGTGTAAATAGAAAAATAAATAGTGTATACATGTATTTTGAAATTGTCTAAATCTTACAGACGTATAGAAGGTTCTTATACCTTACGAAGGTACATGTATTATACTTTTCTCTTGGTGTACTTGTTCCTCTGATATTTCGATTCTCTCTAAACTATGAAAAATATATCGTCGTCGAGAAAAATTTGTGAAATTTGTGAAACAAGCAACTTTCCGCAGTTGTCTAACTATAAATTAGAAATGTGGATCCAGGATTAGGAATTTTTAATTTCTCGGCCACCTGCATCTATAGTCTCGTGTTCTGCAATCGAAACGTTCGAACTCAATTCCCATGTGATACCGTCTTCAACATCATCCTTCGATCTCACCTCTGTCGTTCGAATCGTCCGACGATTTTCGAAATTAATTTTACCGCTCGAACCGGTTCAACAAACTCCGATCCAATCTGACCGTTTACATTTTCTTCTTCATCGCCTCTTTCTCTTCTTCCTCCTCGTCGGTGATGATCTGCACGCTTCTCACTGGACCGGTCTTCCTGTACCTCGAAGCTGGCGTCGTGGTCGTCATAACCGGGGTGGACATCATGGAAGGCCGTTCAGCGTTGATCGCCAGCTGCAACATCCTCAGCAACAAGGCCTCTCTTATAGGAGCGGGCAATATTTCGTCCCCGTCGTCGGCCACCTCCTGCGTGTAGAACTTTTGCCTGTATACCCTCTTCGTGTACCTTCCGTCGCTGTAATCTTCGTACTGTTGAGGTTGGTAAACAGGGTTCAAAGCTCTGGCGTACACGGGTCGTCTCACAGCAACACGATCCCCGTACTGAAGCGGGATTTGCTGATCGTAGCCGATGTCTGGTCGCGTTGCGCTAGGCTGATAGCCCTGCTGATACGATGGATAAGGCTGCTGATCGTACAACGCGTCCTCGAGGTAGCTTTTCGGGTACGAAAGTGCTTGAACGCCGTACTGACTGACGAGCAACCTTCTGAGTAGCAGCTGAAAGTCGCGTCTGCTCAGGGGCGGATTGATCGGATTCGGCGGTTCCGGGGGCAAAGCGAGGGTGCTTCCTCGGTAAGGATACTCCGAGGTGGTTTGGTACTCTCTGTCGTCGACCGAGTGAGTGATGGCCGGTGCAACGGGCCTGAGGACGGGCCTGGGCCTTGGCTCGGGCTCCTGGAAGATCACCGGTCGCGGGAACGGTCTCGGACGCATGTATCCCTGCGCCATGGCGATTCTCGGATCCTCCTCTTGCTCTGGCAGAGGGCTCTCCGTCAGGTAGTGAATGTTCGCGTCCGTGGTCGTGGAATAGAGCGGCTGTTGGTTCGGCAGAGGACGCAGCAAGAGTCTGTTGATCGAAACGGGCCTGTAAGCGGGATCCTCCTCGATGCTCTGCTGCGAGGGGACCAGGATTCTTCCGCCTGGCAGTTCGCGCAGAAATTGTTCCGGTTGCTGCCGAACGAATATCGGCTCGGTGCTCTGTCGCAGGTACTCGCGGTTCTCGACCACCCGCGCAGGTCCTCGAATCAGAACCGGCTGGGTACGCTCCTCCGGAGGCGTCTTCGTCTCCGCTTCGAAAACTCGGCCGTTGTCGTTCGGCACGTTCTCGAACCTCGGCGACGGCGCGAGATTCTCCCGATTCACGTAAACCTTCGGCCTCTCGACTCGATTTGGCGAGACGCGTTGCAGAACCCTCGGCGGCGTGGTCGTGGTGAACAGAGGTCGAGTTGTGGACAAGGAACCGCCGTAAACGTCCGAGTGGTCGTCGCTGCTGCCTTCCACGATTGGATTGGGTTTCGTCGTCTCCTCGTGCAACTGCCTTCGCAGGTTATTCCCGCTCGTCACTTTCTCCTCGTCCTCTTTCTCGACGAAGTCGTCGGAGATCGGCCGAACGGTTTGCTCGACCGGTCGCTTGGCGAATATGATCTTTCTGTACGTGGCGGTCTTGTCCTCCGTGCTCGGCCGATTTATCTGCGAGTCTTCGTCCTCTGTGACCTCCTCCTCTATCACCAACGGCCTTTGTTGACCATTGATCACGAAACGAGGTCTGTTCTTCCCGGTCCCCTTCAAATAATGACCGAATATAGTCTTCGGCTGTTCGGTGGTGGTTGTGGTTGTTGTCGTCGAGGTGGTCGTTGTCTTCCTGTTTCGCGGTATCGATTGGACCACCGATGATTTCGCGTACGATTCGGTGGACGAAGGATAGACGATGTTCGGCTTCTTGGTCGTGGTCGTGCGATTCATGCGCGGAATGCTCTGCACGACGGACACGTGCTCCTGCAATGGCGACATGGTGGTTGCTTTAAATCCTGTCCCGTTAGAGGAGGAGTACGACACCCTTTTTATTTCGCCGTCCGCGTCCACGAAACCGAACGTACCCTTGATGTTGCCTAGAACGTCGCGACTCTCGACCTGACAATGATTTCTTGCGTTCAGCAGACTATCGTTGGTTGAAAAAAAATTTTTTTTTCTTTTCTTTTCTTTTTCGAAGATACTCCGCAAATGGAAATTGCAAGGAGATTCGTTATGTTTCGTTCAAGAAAGCAACAGGTGCTCTCGAATCTATGTGCGTGTATTTTGTAAAAAAAAAATATCGTAAGGAAGAACTGTAATAAAATGGTGCAGCTTGGCATTATCAAGTTTTCTACTCTATTTTCTGCGTTACGAATCTCCCAAGAAATACCCAAGTTACATATTACGTATGTACAACGGTGAATCGTTTGCACAAGTATGCGTCAAGAAAACGCCCATCACGTGCCATTCGCATTGAACGGTGTAACACGGCTATTTAATTTTACCTTGAACGATCCGTCGCCAGCCTCGTAACCGTACGTGTAAGAACCGTCTTCATTCACTTTCCTGATCTGTTTCAAGATCGCTACCTGCTGATCGTGATGCGTCTCAGATGTTTGCTGATCCGTGACGTTCGAGCAGCCTGCGGTAGCCAGACAAAAAATTGCCATCAGCCATGGCGTCATC